TATATATATATATATATACTTTAAATAAAATTCTGCTCTTTGAATTTTATAGGTGCACTTTAAGTGTATTTATTTACTAGTCAATTTATATATTTCCGCTTTTATTTTTAATTATGTCAGTTTTGGTCCTCCGTACTGCAGAAGCCTGATAATCACTCATTCATTCAAATCAGGTGTGTTTGAGCAGAGAAAAAAGTAAAACCTGCAGGGCTGTGGTCCTCGAGGACCAGGATTGCCCACCCCTGATCTAGGGCTTACTGTTACTTACTGCTAATTTTAGCTTTTAACTTTAGTTTTGCTAATTGTAGAGTTTAGCTTCTGCTTTGCTAATTTTAGTTTTAACTACGTTTGTATTAATTTAACTTTTGCCACATATTTATTTATTTATTTATTGCTAATTCTAGCTTTAACCTGTTTTGCAAAAATTGAGCTTATAGCTACAGTTTGGCCAATTTTGGCTTATCTTTTGTTTTGATAATTTTATCCAGCATAGTTCCATGTTCTTCAACACATTTCAGCAGCTGTTCTCAGATGTTTCTCTGCTCTGTGTTGGTTCTTTTTTTGCCACAGTCATCATCTCGTCCTTACACACTACCTTGCACTCATGCGTTGACATGGGCTCAGAGGGTGATGTCACAGCGGGAACATCCCATCGTCGCGCTGTTCGTTGGAAATCATCTCTGTGGAATGCCTGTGACTCAGGGAGTTGGTACACAGATCTGGTTGGCTAACTTGTTTTCTCCTTGACATTTGTGGAAAACAAGCAGAGCTCTATTTCAAACAAAGAGCAGCCAATTCTGACCTTCCATGGGAGGCAAATTGCTCGTGTACTAATCACAACACGGCAACACACCAACTATTACACTACTCGTGGAACAATCGATGCATTCAAAACCATAATCCCTCAGAAGAGACCCCTGCTTCTAATCAGCCTAAAAATAAAAGCCTGCTTAAATGGATTATTTCTCATTTCTCTAAAGCGGTCCAGAAACTGTCATTCAGAGGCAAAGTTTCAAACTGCAGCTAAGTGAACATCCAATCATATGTGTAGCATGAGTGCACAAACTGGCATTTTTAATGGTCCACCACCAAAAGGCTATGGAGGGCAAAGAGTTTTTTTTTTCACCTGTTTTTGTGTATATGGTGTGTGTATGCATGAGTTGTTAGTCATTCATTTTCAGTACGTACTTTTCCCCGCACTGTTGCCAACTCAGTAAGAAAAGTTGCTATTGGCTGTTCTAAAGGCAGCTAGAAGTTGTTACATTACGTCATTGCCTAATTTGCACATTCAGACTCTCACTGTGATCTAGGCTGTAGGAGAAAAGAGAGAGTATTTCATGACTTTAATGCTCAGATTCACATTACATAAATTAATTTTGCAAGAATATTAAATTTAACTAATGGACTGTTAACAGAGGCACACAGGGTGGACGAGGTGAAGACGTGATTAAGTGATTGATCTGAGTTGAAGATGGCTGCAGGATTAAAGCACATTAGCCAACACAATGATCTAGCTCGGTAATTTTTACTGATTTGAGCTAAAGTTTGGGTGGTAGTAGCTTCATTCACAACAACACAGGAGCACTTTTAGATTTTTTTCAGTGAGTTATTCCTCTCTGGTCAGTTTTAGGACCTCCATGAAGTTACAATTCAGCTTTTGATCCGACTGAAACATTTTGTTTATTTGGTTTCAGTGCTTCATAAAATGAATGGTTGCCTTTTTCCAGTCTTTGGCAGTTCTACTGACCTTGTGGCCTAAAAAAAACCCCTCACACATAAACACTCATTTTACACAATGACACAAGTGACATTCTGTACCTGACATAAAGCAAATCCTTTTAATTTCACAGCAGCAAATTTCTAATTTTCTGCAACGTATAAAAGTCCAGAACAACATGAAACAAACCAGAACAAACCCAAATGATTTTTCTCTATGTGTAAAAACAAAATACCATATTAACTTGAATATTTAGAGTATGTTAATGGAGAAAAAAAATCAAAATTGTAAATATTTGTTAAAAACTGGTTGTTAAGATGTGATGGCAACATTGTATGTGTTTATGTACATTAGCAATATATTTCATGCAACAGTAAATAAAAGGTAATGAAACTCTCAGAAGTTAGTTATTGGTTGGACATCAACTCTTTAACCTTTGGAATCAACACAATTTAAGATGGCCACCACAGACATCTGACCTAATGCCTACAACTCAGCCAGTTTTACAAATACTAAGCTACAATTTGAGCTTTATTCCTAACATGAGGATGGCACACTGCACAATATTATTTTATATATACTGCATCTTTATATATATACTGCATCTTTGTATATATATATATATATATATATATATATATGTATGTATGTATGTATATATTCACACTCACTGGCCACTTTATTAGGTACACCTTGCTAGTACCGGTTTGGACCCCCTTTTGCCTTCATATCTGCATTAATCCTTCATGGCAAAGATTTAACAAGGTACTGGAAACATTCAGAGAGTCTGGTCCATATTGACAGGATAGCATCACGCAGTTGCTGCAGATTTGTCGGCTGCACATCCATGATGAGAATCTCCCGTTCCACTACATCCCAAAGGTCTACTGGATAGAGATCTGGTGACTGGAGGACATTTGAGTTCAGTGAACTCATTGTCATGTTCAAGAAACCAGTCTGAGATGATTCACGCTTTATGACATGGAGCGTTGTCCTGCTGGAAGTAGCCATCAGAAGATGGTACACTGTGGTCATAAAGTGATGAACATGTCAGAAGATGGTACACTGTGGTCATAAAGTGATGAGCATGTCAGAAGATGGTACACTGTGGTCATAAAGGGATGGACATGGTCAGAAAACTGTGGTCATAAAGGGATGGACATGGTCAGAAGATGGTACACTGTGGTCATAAAGGGATGGACATGGTCAGAAGATGTACACTGTGGTCATAAAGGGATGGACATGGTCAGAAGATGTACACTGTGGTCATAAAGGGATGGTCATGGTCAGAAGATGGTACACTGTGGTCATAAAGGGATGGACATGGTCAGAAGATGTACACTGTGGTCATAAAGGGATGGACATGGTCAGAAGATGTACACTGTGGTCATAAAGAGATGGACATGGT